TGCTGTCTTCCCGTTTGAGAGGTTGTGTGCATCCTTGGCACAGTTTTTTTTCCCCATGCTTCAAGCTAGCCGTTTGGAAAAAACCATCAACCCTGGGTTTAAGTCTGCCTCGAGGCAATTAAACTTAAACAATGGAATCTTGCCTGGGCAAACATTTGGTCCATCTTCGTTGGGCGTTGCCCTTCCCAGTGCGAGCAGCAATTTGCAGAAACTGACTTTTGGCAGCAACTTTGACCCTTGCTTGAAAAGAGCGAGACTGCCTGGCATCCATATTGGAAAGGGTGGTCACCATTCTTGCTGCCACTATGCCCCTTCTCATACGAGCAACGGTCAATATTCCCCATCATTGGCTGTAAACCACGGGCTGACGCAGGCCACGTCCACCAAACTACCACCGACAAGACAGGCGCCCCAAACGGGTTGACTCCTCTTTCAGTTCCAAAGGCAAAGGCTTAAAGGGAAGCCGTTTCCGGCCTCCATGTTAACAAGCTTACAGCTTTGCCAGGCTCAGCAGGGTGGCGAGCAGCGGAACTTGGGCGCCGGCCGCTCGCGGGCCAACAAGGCGGGCTTGTCGTCCCTTCCGACTGGGGTCTCGGAAGTGGCGGGCTTGTCTGAAACAGATTCACTCTTGCTGGGACCCCGGTTTGATGCTCACGGATTTCATTCGGCCAACTCCAGAAGTGGTGACTTTGGATATGGTATATGATCATTTGTGTTGAGCCTCGGCTTCCAGATGTTTCCGTGGTCGCCCAGCTTAATATACAATGACGTCCCGATGTGCTGGGTGCGCAATTGTCCTGATGATCTCGAGTTTGTTTGTTGGAGTAAGATGCCACACATCGTCGGGCTGGACCACAGTGTGTTATCTTGATTGTTCTTGGGTATCCGCAGCAATCCACCTCTGAAGCGGCCAATTTGGATGAGCATTTCAGTGCCTTTAAATTCAGCATTTGAGCATTTCGGTAATGGAGGCACACAGCTGATTTTGCTAGAATGTCGGCAAGGTCAGCTCTACATTGACAACAGCAACACATGAACGGCGGCAAAGATGGGCTCGGATGATGCTTGCTTTTGCAGACGTGTCACCAGGGCAAACTCACCAACCGTCTGAATTCTGGCCTGCAACCGTTGGCGACTGTGAGCAAAAATGGGCATGGCCAGCACACACACACACACAGCGAATGCACAGACACAGACAAACACACACACACACACAATCACACAGAGTGGACGGCTGTAATCAGCTGTATTTTACGATAAGACGCATTTATGAACATTCTTCAGAAGGATTCAGCAACCGTGGATAAGCGCCAGCAACAATAAGCAGCATTTTTACACTTGTCGACAACTGCCTGCAACCTTAAGCAGCTGCAAACAAGCATCACATGAGCAACCATCTGCAGTCCGACGCCACCAAAAATCCGCTTCTGCGACCTTGCATTTGCCCACGTTCTTTGGTTCCTCTTCTGGCGGACAAAAGTAGAAGGTGACCAACATCGCCAAGATCTTTGGCATCTTGCGGAAAAAGAACCGAGTCCTGCTCCAAAACACTAAGGGATATCATTGAGATGCCAAGTCAGTTCTTAAAACGCCAAACCTAGTTGCTTTACCCAAACATGGTGCTTATCCTTATCCCTTGATACCAAGCCGAATGCCTCAAGAAACCCAGCCAAGTGATGCCGCTGTCTTTCCTTCTCAGGCAGCGGAGTGGAAGACGCAGTTGAAGATTGAGGTGACCAAGGCCTGGATTGCCCCAGCCCCGAATTGGCGGAACGCGTCTTCGCTGGTTGGTCTTTGCCAAGCAAAATCCACAGCGGCAGGGGAGGGGCCCCGTTCGGGGAAGCCTGGAGGATGGAAGCCAACTGGATGCGGTCCGTGAAGAGACTCTGACATAAGCGACAGCATTCCGCTCGTTTTGGCTCGTTTCGAGCGATTTTGGCATGCGGCAATGTGGATGACTTCTGAGAAAGCGGATGGGTATGTCTCAAATCAGAGCGTGGGGAGACTTTGGCATGCCCTCTTTGCATGGCTTCACGCGTCAGGAAAGTGAAGTCAACCCATCAAGGGGTCCCTGATTCCTGCAGACAACCACATGTACAGGTGTTCAAAACAGGTTTGGTTGCCCTCTTATCGTAGGTTACAAGCAAATCTGTCATACACCCGTTTCTGCCGGGAACTCCAAGCAGATAAGCCAACGTGGTCTTTCAGATAATCTTTCTTGCACGCCGCGGTTCCATGCAAGTTCTAGCTTGAGAAATGCACTGGCAAGAACAAGAGCTGCACGAGTATTTCATGCTGTGTCCTTACGAGCTGCAAGGAAAAGCTGTTCGGACACTACAGCACGGTCTTTTGCC